CAGCACCTTCCGCAATTCATCACATATTAAAAAACTGGTAGCGGGACCAATGAACTAAATAAAAGAAGCAGACAAATTGAATTCACAATGAAAAATCCAGAACAAGGTACAGGATAAGATTCATGTCTTGCTCAGACGTAGTGCGCTGATGCTAAGCAGCCTGTAAATAGACCTCAGTGACGTGACTGGAATAGAATGCTATTGTCAAGCACATTGGAAATCAAGGCAACTATTTCTGTTCAGGATATACGCTAAATTTTTTATTAGACAAAAGTACAAGCGAGTCAGAGGTGAGCTGCTGTAAATTAGAAGTGGCTGAGTTAGGTTTTGTCAAATTATATTCATGAAGCACGAAGGTCCTCTGGGATCTCACCAAAAAAAAAAGTGTAGAGTCTGGAATGTGATACCTTCAACAGCTGTTAATTTCATTAACAAGTTTATTAATTAGAGAAACATTGCCCTGTTTAAATCTTTATTACAGAACATTGCATGGTAATGTTTGAGGGTGGAAAACACTGACACATATCTTCTGCATTGCAGTATTCAAGAAATGTTTGCTACTTTCTGCATACTTTATCTCTAGGTGAAAAATACATATATTGAGAACAGGGGTTGACTAGAAAAGGGATGACCATCCTTTTTCCACTACAGGTAGCAAATTTTACCTTCACTGCATTCAAAGTGAAAAAGCATACAGGAGGAAATATCTTTTGACATTATATATTTATTAATAAGTTTTATGTTTTGCCTGGGGTTTTCCTTTAAAACATTCTAGCAGCTGGCCTGTATGGACTATCAATCTGTCCCTAGGACCTATTTGCCAAAAACAACCAAGCTTTGATATTATTACAAGACAAGGTTAAAACAAAGTTTATCTTTGGTAATTATATTTCAATATGTACCATTGAGGATTACCTACCCTCCCATTGGCATGGAGATTATAATAGAAAGAAAACAGGCCAGCTGTTATGCTCATAATTATGGAGCTTTAAAAATGAATACTTTCAGTTAACTTCAGGTAAGTGCATATAGTTAATTCTCCTCTGCATAGGCTATCTGCCTCAATTCCAACATTTTCCTGGATTCAGAAATCCTCCTTAAAAGAGTGACAGTGCCTTTGTACTAAAATATGTGAGGAGCAGCATAAGAGGAACCCAAAAATGAAGAAATTATACCATATTGTTCCTGTTCCTCCAATATACAATGCAACAGAAAAAAATGCTGCTTTGATATTAGATTGAAGAGACAGGAGGGTCCCTTTTTAAAGCTGACAACCCTATATTCTTCTTATGTTCTACTCATATTACCATGCCCCCAATCATCTGTGAATATCTTTTATAAACTTATGAATGGAAGTGCCCACCCAACTATTCAAACACACATGTAGCATGAGGTCTGCAAGATCCCTACAGTAGTTGACAGCCTAGCATTATTCACAGATATAAAGTGAAGTGATAAACTTTGGGATATGAACTTATCATTTACTGTAACATGATTACCTTGTTTTTAAGTAATCTATCATTGTGTTAGTTGACCCTCCATGTCACTAGACGAAGTGTAGGAATTAAAGAGACACAAGGCTCAGAATCTAAGAAGCTGTCCAGTAGTCACAAGATCATCCCAGGGATCATGGACATCACCCAAGTTGCATCCCTCACAATCCCCTGCACTGGCAACAATTGAAAGCAACCAGCTGAAGTAAAAAAAAACATAAAGTAAGATTGTGGTCCAGACAAGCAAGAGGTCAGGGCAGGCAGCTGACAGGAATTGTCAATGTCAAGTCAAGTTGTAAACAGGTATCAGAGACAGTAACAAGACAACAGAGGGGGGAAAGCCTGGGAAGAGAATCTCACAGAGGTCTTTGCTCAGATAATTCCCAATTGTGCTGAGCAAATTCCTGAGCACAGGACATCAGCGAAAGACCATGCTACACTTTCTACTATAAACCAATAGAGGGAGCAGAGGAATGCCTAAACACTTTGAGTAAGACTTGGTGCCTGTTCCCAGGGAGGATGGAATTCACTGTACAGAGAAGAAAAAGAAATTATCTGTCCCAGGTAAGAAACAGGTTGATTCTGCAATGAGCCTTTACAGTTTCAGATTCCAGCATAGGCCAGTTTTAAAGAGAACAATCTGTGATATACTCACACTAGATAACTTACCATTTTAAAACCACACACTATACGTTGCTACCAGGTGTGGCACCATTATAAGAGTACTCCTTAGAATTCCTCTCTGAAATCAATGAGATTTCTTGTAAGTTCGGGAAGCCATATTGGAGCAGGGAACACTTGTAGCTGTCTACCATTGCATCAACAGATCACTGCATTAAAGGCTGGACTATATTACCTTCCCTGAACCATTAAACTTTTAAAATAAAATTAAACAAAACAAATAATAAAAATAAATAAATAAACACAATAAACAAAAAACCCTCCTTCCTTCATCCTTCAGGTCTTAATGAACAGATGTTATGTTCATAATGTGCAAGTTTGTGCAAACTCATTCTGCATTTTATTATTGCAAACATGGAAAAACAGTGTTGTCATAACAATGCATATCATGTATAAACATGATTCATCCATAACTTACCCATGCACTCATGATATTAGCACACTGATGTGTTTTACTGATATGTGTTGCAATGAACAGGTCAAAGAAAAAAAAACATCACTACATTAAAAGGTAAACTCGAACTAATGTGATAACCTTGTACTCAAAATGCTTTGAAAATTATAGCAATAATATAAATATCTGCAGTCGCACGGATTAAACAAAATTAGTGGTAATTGGGACCCAGTGATCATGTGATCAAAATGCGATCACATGACCACAATGTTAGCAAAGCTTTTATGAATCAAACTAATTTATAACAGCGTTGCTTCTTTACCTGGTGAGCTGTGATTGGCCCACAGCTCTCACATCGTACATGGACCAATAGAAGCAACCTGTACCATGTGATTAGCTGTAGCCAGACACAGATCACTGGTATTTTGAACTGTCAAGAACTTAACCCATTCATGAAAGTTCAAAGCAAGTATTGCACTGCAGGGGCAATAATCTTTATTGCTCCTGCAATGCTGAGTGCAAAAAAAAAAAATCCTTGATCACCCCCCCCAGAGTAGCTGAATATTACAGTAATATTGAACTACTCTGGTGGAAGTATTTTTTTTATATAGTAGAAAAAAATATAAAATAATGTTAAATGTTAAATAATGTTAAAAAATATTTTTTATTTATTATTATTTAAAATTTTGTATGTTTTTTTTAAAACTACTTGCTGACCGCTCGCCGCAATGTGCAGGTGAGCAATGGCTCTGGGCAAAGCGACATACCCTTATGTCGCTTCCTAAGCAGTACATTTTACACACACATGAGAGTAGCACATTTAACCCTTTGATCACCCCTAGTAACCCTTGGATCACCCTGTCACCCAGCCAGTGCTCCTAATACAGTGTCAGTATATAGAATGTTTTACTGATCAATGTATTACTGCAACCAGAGACACCAAATAATGTCAGGGTCAGTTAGCACCCCTCCCAGCCAGGGCCAGCTAGCGTTAGACTGGCTGCATACTATCACACTCACGCTATAGGTCACTGATCACGGCCATTACTAGTATAGTGTTTATATGGATCAATGTCCCCAAAAATGCAGTGTTAGCAGGATCAGCCCCGCTCGCTGCCAGCACTAGTGTTTTGCTCCTAGCTTTTTTTCATGGAAGATTTGTATTAATTGATTGTGGGCAAAGCAATTTACATGTGCAACAATACATCACTGTCCACCCAAATTCAGCTCTTGCCAGACAATTTGTGTGGAAATCTATCACAGTTTCCAAATTTAAAACTTTTTCGGGCCTAACCCTTAACATGGGCATTAAAAAAAGAATGAATTGCAGTCATATTGGTCGACAGACCAGATTCATCATATGCCCATGTTCGCTGCTGTGCCCAACAAGGATCAGCAATGTACTGGTACATCTCTGGACTTTGAGTGGTTATGCCAGGATGATGCCTGCAGCTACAGGCATCATCCTGGTACATACGTTTTTATGTAAAAGCAATCCAAGCAACTAGTTAGCTGTTGGTCTGCTATTTCAATTAGTGGGAAAGAATATCCCCCCTCCAACCACCATCCATGGCTTTCTTGGGCTCTCTCGTTTCACTGGTTCCCCCCGATGACCATACAGCTAATCGTAAACCAGAAAGGCTCCAATCATGTCTATGGTCTAAAAGACAATGAAGCTATGAGCATTTCATCATTTCCGTTTCACCGGATATAAACAGTACCATTTTAAAATTGGGAAAGCATCTGATCAGACCGATTATGGTGTGATCAGATGCTTTAAGATTTCACAGAAAAGAGTACCTGTCATTGCCTATTGCTATCACAAGGAATATTTACATTCCCTGGGATAACAATAAAAGTGATTTAAAAAAATGAGCGGGACAGGGTAAAAATTAAAAAAAAGCAAAATAAATTTTAAAAAATTACCCCAGCCTCCCCCCGTGGTCAAGGTGAACACAAGTTTCGGTCCCATGTCGGTATGTAAACAGAGACTGCACCATGCATGTGAGGTATCACCACAAACATAAGATTGAGGGCAGTAATTCTAGCACTAGACCTGCTCTGTAAATCTAAAGTGGTAACCTGTAAATGTTTTTAAAGCATCCCCTATTTACATAATTTGTGGCTGTTGCATGGGCGTGCACAATTTTAAAGCATGTCATGTTTGGTATCATAACATCATCTTTTATATTTTATCAAACAATTTGCAATATATTTTTGTGCATTAACTAGTTGCCGACCGCAGATAGCTGAATGACGGCTGCACTGCGGCCGGCCAGTTCTGGGTGGACGTCATATGACGTCCTCCCAGAACGCGCTCTCCTGCGCGCCCCAGGGGGCGCGCACCCGGCGATCTCCGTGATCGCTGTGTCCTACGGACACAGCTGATCACGTGATGTGGTAAAAGGCCAATCATACCGGTCTTTTACCACGTGATCAGCGGTGTCTAATGACACGCTGATTACAGGGAAATGCAAGTGCCGGTTCTCGGCTGCACTTTCCTCACGCTGTCAGATCGTGAGGAAAGTACTGCCGAGAACCGGCAGTTGTCAGAGCGAGGATCGGCACCGATCATCAGGGCACTGATGATCAGTGCCCTGATGATCGGTGCCCAGCAGTGCCACCCACAAGTTCCGCCCACCTGTGCCCAGCAGTGCGCCCACTAGCTCCGCCCACCTGTGCCCAGCAGATCACCCACCTGTGCCCAGCAGTGCACCCACCTGTGCCCAGCAGTGCACCCACCTGTGCCACTCTGCAGTGTCACACACCTGTGCCCAGAAGTGCCACCTACCTGTGCCCAGCAGTGCCACCCACCTGTGCCCACCCACCTGTGCCCACCAGTGCCACCCACCTGTGCCCACCAGTGCCCACCCACCAGTGCTGCCTACCAGTGCCACCCACCAGTGCTGCCCACCAGTGCCACCCACCAGTGCCACCCACCAGTGCTGCCAGTCAGTGCCACCAGTCAGTGCCCAGCGGTTGTGCCAGTCAGTGCCGCCAGTCAGTGCCCAGCAGTGATGCCAGTCTGTGCCGTCTATCAGTACCCATCATCAGTGTCACCTATCAGTGCCGCCTATCAGTGCTGCATATTAGTGCTGCCTATCCGTGACACCTCATTAGTGCTGCCTATCAGTGCCGCCTATCCGTGCCACCTCATTAGTACTGCCTATCAGTGCCCTTTAGTGCTGCCTATCAGTGCCCATCAGTGCCGCCTATCAGTGCCCATCAGTGCTGCCTCATCAACGCACATCAGTGAAGGAGAAAAATTACCTGTTTGAAAAATTTTATAATAGAAACAAAGAAACTTTTTTTTTTTTTTCAAATTCTTTGCAATTTTTAAATTTATAGCGCAAAAAGTAAAGTGCCCAGTGGCGATTAAATACCACCAAAAGAAAGCTCTATTTGTGAGAAAAAAATGATCAAAATTTCATATGGGTACAATGTTGCATGACCGCGCAATTGTCAAAGTGCGGCAGCGCTGAAAATTGGCCTGGTAAATAAGGGGGTATAAGTGCCTGGTAGGCAAGTGGTTAAGATTCTAAAAAGTGTATTTTTTCCAAAAACATTGCGTTTGAAAAATCGCTGTGCAAATACTGTGTGATATAAAAAATTTCAACACCAACCTTTTATTCTCTAGGGCCTCTGCTTTAAAAATATATATAATGTCTGGGGGTTCAAAGTAATTTTGTAACAAAAAAACCTGTTTTTTCAAGTAAACAAAAACTGTCAGAAAAGGCTTGGTTTTCAAGTGGTTAGAAAAGTGAATGATGTGTGGCATAAGCTTCTAATGTTGGCCTGGAAATGGATAGTTGAAGCCCCCACCCCAATTTTTTGAAAGTAGACACTTATTCACTAACAGGCACTTTGCAGATCTCCTTTGTTGCCACAAGTTTTTGGAAAACGGGGAAAGAAAACAAAAATGTATTTTTTCTTTTATTCTTTTTCAAAACCCTGTAACAAAAATGATATCTGCAAAATACTCACCAAGACTCTTATCAAATTCCTTTGGATGTCTACTTTCCAAAGAGGGGTCATTGTGGGGGGTGTACTGTCTTGGCATTTTAGGGCCTCCTAAACCTATGATAGATTTTGCGGATGTGTATGTGGCTAGGCTACCAAAAAGGCTCTTACATGTGGTATCCCCATACTTGGGAGAAGTAGCAGGTTGTGTTTTGGGGTGTTATTTCACATATACCCATGGCATGTGTGAGCAAATATATCATTTAACTGACAACTTTGTGTAAAAAACATTTTTTATGTAATTTTCCAAAAATGCGTAGCAAAAAATAAAATGTTCCATGGACTCAACATGCCTCTCAGCAAATGCTTTGGGGTGTCTACTTTCCAAAATATACCATAGTTTGTAGATGCTATAACTTTCACACAAACCAATTAATATATAATTGGTTTGTGTGAAAGTTACCAAAGACATGTAGCGGAATATATTTTAGCCTAAATATATGACTAACTTTGAGTTTACAATACATTTTTTATAACCAAATGTAAAAAATATAGTTTTTTTCAAAATTTTTGGTCTTTTCTTGTTTATATCTCAAAAAATAAAAAGCCCATTGGTGATCAAATGCCACCAAAATAAAGCTCTATATTTGTGTGAAAAATGGGACATAAATTTTGTTTGGGTACAGCATTTCATGATCGCAAAATTACCAGTTGAAATAGCGCAGTGCTGAATAGTAAAAAAAAATGGCCTGGTCATTAAGAAATCTACAGGGGGGATAAGGGGGATAAATCCTCCGGAGGGCAAGTAGTTAACTTTACAAATCTAAAAGACTGTTCTAGGCAGTTCACAATGTTCAGTAACATTAAAATGGCATTAAACCCCAAACCAAAGATGTAATGTATTTCAGCTTACCGATCATTAGATGTAGTGGCTGCATTAATTTCCTTTTTTTAAGCATTCTTCCCCTATGTTTGCACTCTTTTTGCACCTTACCAGTAACACGCCTGCTGTATTAGGGTGTCCCTACTCTGGATGAATGAGCACAGGGGGCAGAGCAGACAGTAGTATTGTCAGTCTGGGAGAGGGAGTAGTGTTAAATATACTAGCAGATTTAAATATACTAACATATTAAATTAGCATTTACAGCTTACATATTTTGTTTTCCTTTTAGGATAAAGGTTTTACATAAATAAAAGCTGATCATAGTAAGCACCCCTGTCAGTGGTAAATGGTTTGTCTCATTCCTGTAAACCAATGCAATTGCAGGAGAGACTTACTGACCAGACCACCAGATAAAAATAGAAGAAAAAAAAGCCTGTAAAAGAAAACTAATGCATCACATCTAAGAATTGGTAAGTCTGCGATATAATAAATGTTTGATTTTGCGTTTAATACTGCTTTAACATTTCTCAACAAAAGCTTTACCACTTAACATAAAAAAAACAGTCTCTTAAGTTCCAGTCAAGTGACTTTTTCTTGACCAAGATGATGTAATCAGTCTGCTGCAGCCTGGAAGTCATCAATTTCTCCACCCATGATCATACCAAACAATGCTACTTTCTAGCAAATCACAAAGCAAGAGGCTACAGCAGGAGCACCAGGATTTACATGTCACATCTGAGCAAGCGTCTATATTTAGGAAAGAGATTCTGTCTTTGTGATCGAGAAATATTTTCCAACTTGTCCCTTCGACAGAAGTCAATCAGGTGACACAGGGACTACCACACTGGTTGAAATGTGTCCATTCCCTACTGAACCCTCTGAATTTCAGTTAGGGCAACACAGTGGCTAAATGGTTAGAACCCAGGACTCACTGCACCAGCGTAGGGTCTGACAATGTGTCCAAGGATTTCATCCCGAAACCTAATGGCAGTCAGGGTGCCATTGTCTAGCCTGTAGAGGTCTGTGCATCAAGGTATCACCTCATGCTTCTAGGGTCCAGGTATCGCCTCATGTTACCAGTAGCAACACTGACCCTAGCCAAATGCAAAACTAGTCAAAAACAGTCAGAAAAGATGAGTAGGGAAAAAATTGTCAGTGGCCTCCACCTGTAAAACCATTCCTGTTTTGGGGTTTGTCTCATTATTGCCCATCTAGTGCACCTGCTGTTAATTTCATTAACACCAAAGCAGCTGAAACTGATTAACAACCCCCTCTGCTACTTAACTGACCAGATCAATATCCCAGGAGTTTAATTGACTTGAAGCTATACTCCTATTAAAAAGTGTTCTTTTAATTTGTTTGAGCAATGTATGTAAAAGAGCTGAATAATTGATGGCGCTATATAAGTACCTGTAATAATAATAATAATAATAGCCAGCTTTACACACATTATTTGTGTGTTTTTCACATGAAAAAGATATCTGATGCTAGGTCCACTTTAAGGATGAAGATGCTGTATAACTTGATTTCTAATCTGAACAATGTGTTCATCTTTGCTTTCAAAAAGATTACAGAATATATATGTAAATGTATAGAATTACAATCTGAACCCGCTCCCCCTTTTCACTCTCATTCTATCTAGTATCTGATCTAGAACAATAATGAAATAAAAGATGCCCCTTATTAAACATAAAGCCATGCAGGACATCAAAGCATGTGCAGCAAGAGAGCTAACAATTGCAAATCCTGTCATGTCTGCAAGGAGCAGAGGAATTATCTTGTTATCAATTTAATAATAGAACATTGAAGTAAATAATGCCATCTACTGACATAAGTAACACTGTTGCCTCTTGGGAAATCCACGTCTGTAGAATCTGTCAATCTGGATGGATATGGTCATATTAAGGTAGCAGGGAAAGAATAGATTTATAGACTGAAGGTGCAATGTTTAATAAGAAGATTCTGCATAGTGATAAAGACAAGTCATTCAGAATGGCTTGACATACCTGACCTGCATTCTTTCTCATTTTATACATTTCCCCCACCTGGTTTTCTTGTATGAATAATTTAATCAGACATTAACCTTTTAGCCCATGCTTTATTTTTTTCTTTCTGAACTACATACTTTTGATTGGAATATTTAACCAGGAAATTAAATACCATACAGTACAGTACATTTGCAGAGAAGATATTCTGTTGAACTATATGCAGTGGATTTATGGTTCAAACTATGCCTTTTGCTTCAGATTATATATGGTATTTATTCTTCTTTTGCACACAGTTAAGGTCATTTAAGAAATGCAAAATGTGTGCTTGCAGCTGATAATATGATTAAATGGTCAATATTACCTAGTTGCAAGCTGTTTCTGATCACTAGCATTCTGGTCCTCTACACTAAATGGCCTTGTTGATACACTGAAAAAATGGAAGGAAAGGCAACCTGTAACAAAAAAGTGGTATACTTACCTCTCTGGCAGCGAAGCACTGGTGCTGCTACTATCTACCACTTCTGGGTCTGTCTAATAGCTGTCTCTCTAGTTGGGTCTGTCTCTCTAGTTATTTGTGCTAGCTCCAGTGTCACTACAGGACACAGCCAACACCTAGCACTCTACATGAATCAACTTGCCCAGTGATAAGGTAAATATGCCATTTATTCTCTTACCATGTCCTTTTCATTTTGTTAGTTAAAGTAAACCTATAGGCAAAACCTCTTTTTTCATTATTGATAGCAAAAGGGAGGGTGATAACCCCTGTAAGATTGTTTTTTTTTGCCATCTGTGTCCCATTGTGGAAATTTCCCTTCAGTTCCTGTCCCATAGCCAAACAGGAAGTGGGAGAAAATCCCTGCAAGTGGGATTCTTTGGGGACCTCCTAAACTAATGCCCTCATTGGAAGATTTCTTCTCTCTTACTTTTCTGGGGATAGCACAAACATTTGGGATTTTCTTTTATTTTAATTTTCATTGATAATGGTAAACAGGACAAATAGAGAGGGTGAATCTCCTTATTGGGGGCACAGACAGCAATAAAAATGGACAAGTGTTTTAATCCATCTCCACTCTGTCCAAAGTTTGAAAAACTTTTTTTCCTTTAGTTACAAATCAACATAGCAACA